TAGCATGATCCCAGGGTTGGTGGTCAGGGAGGCGCTCTGAAGCAGTTTCAGAGAATACTTTTTCGAAATCGCGGTAGGGTTCTGGGACCATTTCTTCAAAGGTTTTCATGGGTTTTGTTTTGTGGGCTTGTTCCGCTAGCTGTTGGGAGTAGGTGAACCCTGCAGCACACCAGACTTCATCTGTTTGTTCGTGTAAGATTCCTGACTTCACCCATGCACGTCGGGTTCGTCGGTTTGCTCGAATGCGGTGTATGGGCGACTCTTCTGTCTCCTCATCCAGTGTGTCAAGTGGTGGTTCAGGGGTGATCACAGTTTCAATTTCCTCCGCCGTGTCTTGCTCTTCCACCTCCTCTATCGTTGTTTGTTGGGATCTGACTGTGAGTCGTCCTTTCTCCCAGTCAATATCTGGATTGGCCTTACGTAGCCAGGGGAGTCCTAAGATTAGGTCTTCGCCTCCCAGATTGGTTACTAGCAAGTCTGTCCACCGTTCTTGGTTATCAACAGTCAGGGCTAGGCGTGCAAAGTGTGTGATCTGCCCTGCTCGGTTAGCAGACCCATCAATGTTAAAGACGCCAATGGGTTTCCTGAGTGGGAAGGTCCTTACACGGTGACGGGTGACAAACTCTTGGTTCAAAAATAGAGCAGTGGCTCCAGAATCAACCATGGCTGCAGTTGCTATACTGTGATTTCTTCCTCTTAGTTTTGCGTTAATTCGGAAGTGAGATGAATTGGAGTTCAATTCCGAAATAGTAGATATTTTACAAGATGGGAGAGAATCATATGCAGATGTGGAATGTATAGCGAACTGGTTTACGGGTACTCTCGATGCAGCCGAGACGGGCACCCGCTTTAAAAACCCTCCTGAGAACCTGGTGCTGGGGCCATGGCATTGGCTCTGTTAAGGAGCTCCTGGAGCTGGGCAATCTGGGTGGAGAGGTCAGGCGTAAGTGGGGACGGAGCAGTGGGAGCTGGAATGGACGTGGCAATTTGGACAGGTTCATTGGGGAAGAGGGTGAACGGTGTCGAAGCAGAAGCAGAGACTTGTTGACGGCGGGGTTGTTGGCGCTTACCCCGGCCACATTCTAGACCCATGAACTTGTCTTGGCAGACTGATTCTAGGTGGCCTCGTCGTCCACAGTAGCGGCAAACTGTCTCCTTGTATGAGCAGTTCCTCTTTTCGTGACTCTGCGAGCCACACCCATAACACCTTCCTCTCATCTGGGCCACGAAGCTTTCTCTGCTGTTACCACTAGTGTGTGTGGCATCGACATCCATAGCATGGGAGTTGGCAGGGGGGGAGGAGATATGGGAGGTGCCTGGGTTGCGACCTGTCATGGTGGGATCGTGCAGGAACACATCCACTGAAATTGCTCGCCTGATAGCCTCCTCCAGGGTGGGAGCCAGTCCCTGGGCTATATTGACCACAATGAGATTTTGTCGGATCTCTGGGTTGAGGCCGCTATGGAAGCGTTCTCGCAGGTCGACGTCTGAAAGCCCGGTCCGATCACCAATGTCCTTGAAATTCTGTGCAAATTCCGCTACCGTTTGACCTTTTGCCTGCCTGAGAAGAATCCTAGCGCTGCCTTGATCAGCTTCCCTTCGTTGCTACTCAGATCTGGTTGTTCCATTGCCCAGCTTTGATACTGAGCAATGAAGCGACGTGCTTCTGCACTACTAGAGCCTTTGAAGAGCTCAGGTTTATTCATACTGGACTTGGCTGAGGCTTTGTGGAGGTTGGCCGTGAGCTGGGCCACCTGCTCGATGAGCTGTGCCATGAGCTGGTTTGTGTTGACTTCAGAGGTCGACATAATGGATGGGGGTGCAGTGGGAGTAGGGATAAGGATGGGTGTGATCACGGTACCGTCGGAAAGGTTCTCCTCTTCACTGATGGAGTTGGCAGCAGCGTTTGGACAGGGTTGAGAACTGCAATCAGCCCAGGAGCTGCTTTTGCTGCGGTGGATGTGGGTTTGGTCTTTAGTATCAAAAGCGTGTGGGTAGGCAGAGCAGTCGATAGCTTGGGCGGGCAGGCTTGGTGCGGAGGTGTCTGTAGATGTGGTGGAAGCGGAGCCTGCAAGGATAACCTAATCGGTAGGCTATCAGTGCAGTAAGGGATCTTGACCTAATGTCACAAAGAGGTGACGATGGTGGCGGAGCGGAGCGGAGACTTGAGCGGAAGCGGGCAGGTACTGGTCCCAACGACAAAGTTATATTGATAATAAATACAAGTAAGTAAGTTCAAGACATGCCTGGTCCCAACGACAAAGAGGTCAAGATAAGGGACCAGGTTGTGGGGGCTGGCTTATATATACAAGGTGGAGCATGGGAACTATGAGGTAATACTGTATAGCTCCGGCACAAGGAATGGAACTAATAGAATGAAATGGAATGTTCCGGAATGATTATTGTAGGTAGGAGGGCTTGGATGGTGTATCGTAAAGAAAGGAAAATGATAGGGGGTGGGCTCACTTCATGACAACTATGAAATTTACGACCGAGAGACGCTCGCCATCATCGAAGCATTAAAGGACTGGAGAAGCTTCCTGGAAGGTTCACCACAACCATTTGAGATCCTCACTGATCATGCAAACCTGGAATTCTGGTGCTCTGCTCAGGACCTTAGTAGACGGCAGGCACAATGGGCACTATGGCTGTCCTGCTTCGATTTCCAACTCACTCACCGGCCAGGCAAGTCCAACACTCAGGCAGACGCTCTCTCTTGCATGGCAGCACATCAAGTTTTAGATAGCGAAGATAATCGACAACAGATCATCCTGAAACCAGCCCATTTTATGCGAGTGGCAGCAACCTCATTACAGAATCCACTGGAGGACCGTATCCGACAGGCATCTCAGAAGGAGGCCCAAGTACTGGAAGGACTGGAAGAGCTTAGGAGAAGCGGTCTCAAATGCTTGGCCAATGGGATAGCAGAATGGGAAGAAGACAACGGACTAGTGTACCACCGAGGGAGGGTATACGTCCCACCAGACGATGACCTGCAGAAAGAAATACTCAAACAATGCCATGACAACCCCTCTGCTGGCCACCCTGAACTTCACAATACCCTTGACCTCATCAGTACCCACTTTTGGTGGCCCACCCTGCGATCCTTTGTAGAAAAATACGTTGAAGGATGCGAGACTTGTGCTAGGAAGAAGATACAGAGACACCCACGAGCAGTAACACTACCCCTAGATGTTCCAGCAGGCTTGTGGGAAGAAGTGGGAGTTGACCTGATCACACAGCTGCCCAACTCGCAAGGGTACGATGCAATTCTAGTCTGCACTGACCTCTATGGTAAACAAATCCATGCAATTTCTTGTACAACCTCAATCACAGCAGCAGGGGTGGCCGACATCTACTATCGCAAAATTTTTCGCCTCCATGGCCTTCCCCTCTGCTTTGTATCAGACCGGGGACCCCAGTTTGCAGCAAAACTCATGCGATCACTACTCTCCCGCCTAGGAATCAAATCAAACCTCACCTCCGGATACCACCCCCAAGCAAATGGACAGACTGAACGGGCAAACCAAGAAGTCGAAAAGTACCTCAGGCTCTATGTGGGACGCCATCAGGATGACTGGGCAGAACACCTGCCCATGGCGGAATTTGTGATTAACTCCTGCACCCACTCAGCACTGGGAACATCCCCTTTTGAACTCACGTATGGTTACCTGCCTCTATTCAACATTCCAGTGGGACAACGGAGTGGGATTCTGGCAGTGGATGATCGCATCCAGATACTGCGAGATGCACAACAGGACGCTGGGGCGGTGCTGCACCTGGGGAAAAGACAGCAAAAGGAAAACTACGAACGGGGAAAACAAAAGGCACATCAGTTCCAAGTTGGAGATCAGGTCTGGCTAAGTATAGAAGACATCAAGCTTCAACTTTCCAGTGAGAAACTGGGGGATTGACAGCTAGGACCATATGCGATTTTGGAGAAGGTTGGCCCTTTGGACTACCGTTTAGACCTCCCACTGTCGCTAGACCACATCCACCCTATGTTCCATGTCGATAAACTGTACCCTTGGAGAGGGAACTCCGTCAATGGCAAAATTGCAACACCACCGGAACCAGTATACCTAGAGGATGAGGATGAGCCAGAGTATGAAGTCGAGGACATCTTGGATAGTCAGATTAGGTGGAAGAAATTAGAGTACTTGGTAAAGTGGAAAGGCTACAATGCAGGACACAACTCCTGGGAACCTGCACCAAATCTTGAACACGCCCCTACAACTATCCGAAAATTCCACAAAAAGCACCCCCAGGCGGCAAAAGCTTGACCATTGAGGGCAATGGTCATAAGGAGGGGGGTAATGTCATGAAGTGAGCCACCCCTATCATTTTCCTTTCTTTATGATACACCATCTGAGCTCTCCTACCTACAATAATCATTCTGGAACCTTCCATTCCATTCTATCAGTTCCGTTCCATTCCTTGTGCCTGAGCTATACAGTATTACATCATAATTCCCACACTCCGCCTTGTATATATAAGCCAGCCCCCACAGCCTGATCCCTTATCTTGACCTCTTTGTCATTGGGACCAGGTATGTCTTTTACCTACTTACTTGTATTTATTATCAATATAACTTTGTCATTGGGACCAGTATCTGCCCGCTTCCGCTCAAGTCTCCGCTCCGCTCCGCCACCGTCGTCACCTCTTTGTGACAGGCCTTGACTTGTTGAATATTCTTACTTGATCTTAGTATTGATATTGACCTTACCCAAAGTAATAATAATAATGCCCAAAGGAGAGTTACAAGGCCCCATCCCCCACCAACTATGAGATGAGATAAAATGAAATGATGAGATGATGAGATTAGTGTAGGCTGAGGGTGGATTTCTAAGCTAAGCTAAGCACTTTGAAAAGAGTTATAGAGGATGGGGGATAAGTGGGTAAAAAGTAAATTTTGACAGAAGTATGTAAAAAAAGGTACTTAAAAAAAGGAGGTATGTAAAAAAGGTGTTTTTGAAAACAAGATTTAAAAAGATAAAGAATGGACAAGTACGGAATCGAACCGGAGACCTTTCGCAAAGCACGTTATACAATTATCCAAATCCGCGGAAGGCATTTTGGAAAATTGCGAAGCGAACGCGATAACTCCTACACTACATGCCCATATTGAATATGATTTTTTATAAGTTGTTATCTTTATTTTTTTTGAATAAGTAAACACTAATTCCCACACCTCCCCGAATCCCCCGAGTCCCGCCGGAGACCCGGAGACCTTTATCTAATCACCATTGTAGTTACCTTTTTTTTGTGTTTTCGCTTTTCTCATGAGCCATAGTAGGCGCAGTAGTATCATCACCACCAGCATAAGCCACGCCACTAGCAGCAGCACCATTAGTACTAACACCAGTACTAGTAGTAGTATCCTAACTACAACATCAACAATTCTAACTTCGACTTTAACTTCGACACTTTTCTCTACCTTCTCTACCACCAACAGCTCTAGCTCCAACTCTACTACCCTCGGACTCAGAATCAATGCCCATTCAGCATATCTAATGGATAACTTATTCGCTATAGTGTTCGGGCTTTGTTTGAGAGTTTTTTTGGGGGTTGTCGGAGGAGGAGAAGGAGATGGATTAGAAGATGGACTAGATGAGTTGGGACTAGGAGAATACGATGCAAAAGCGTATCTGTCTTCCTCCAGGTCTCCGTCGTCCCCATTTTTATACTCCTCCTCCTCCTCCTCCTCTTACTCTCCTTCCACCTGGAATTCATATTATTCGTTAAAAACGACAACACCTCTGATTGGTTTATGGGAAGGTATTGTTTTGTGGCATTTTATTAATCAACGCCACTCTCAGCGTACTCACTCTCGCTCTGGATCCTCTCGAACCTCCAGAGCTACCTCTGGATCCTACTCCTCCTACACGCCCTGGATAGGCTACGCCCTAAGAATGGGTATAGACTTTATAGTCACAGGAAATATTCAAAGAACGATTTTGGTTGTGGTTTGGACTGCGTTGGGGACGATTTTGATGGATGTTGGGGTTGGGGTTTGGGAGGATTCTGGGGGAAGCAGAGGAGGAAGGGGGTTCAGTTTCGGAGGAAGGAGAGAAAGACGAAGAGGAATCTGGAGAGGTTGGCAAAGTCTTTGGAGAAACGTTAAAAGAGATGTGAAAGGTATATCAAGGAGAATGCCTAGGATACCCATTCCCATGAGCATACCGGGATTGGATAGACAAAGAACAGTTAGGTTCGTACCAGAAGAATCAAGAAATTGGACTTCTAGAACGTCCGCAACCTCTCGTACTTCTCCAACGTCGTCCTCATCGTCTGTCGTAGTTCCTCCGGAATCTCAATCTAGACAGTCCGGGGAACCTAGGGTGTCCAGCACATCTCCGACACCCTCTATCGTTTCTACACCAACGACAGTTACTACTTCTGCTGCTTCTACTACTTCTTCTATGACTACTTCTACTACGACGACGACGATGCGGGCGAGGACCTCTAGGTATATTGGTACTCCCGGTCCTGGACCTGCTCCAACGCCAACTCTTAACCCAACACCTGCTCCTACTCTTAGCACAACCCACAAACCGCACGTCCTCGTCCCAGGTCATTTCATGCGCGATTCCGAAACAGAAACAGAATTCACCGCGTTATCAATGCCGATCACAGCAAGGAGGAGTAGGAGGAACAAGTACACTTCGACTTTAACGAATCAGTCTGCTAATCCAACTCCTTCCAATAACTCTTCTGCCTCTGCATCTGGGTTAACAACAGATACCGAGTTACTAGGAACTTCTCGTGGCTCGACGTATTCGTTGTTCCCTCTAGGGTCGGATAGAACGAAGAGGTCGACCAGAACGAATTCGAGGAAAAGAGAAGCGAGGTTGACGGAATCCGAGTCTGAGTCTGACGCCGATGAGGACGAGGACGAAGGGGATAAGGATAGGCATGGAGGGCGAGTTGTCGGAGAGATGGAACGAAGGGAAGGACACGATGGCGATGGTTCTTCTACAGAAACAGAAGCACCAACACCAACACTAACACCAATGCCAACACCAATACCAGACGCAGGCACATTGAGAGATATATCGATTTTGGAAGAAGAGAATCAGAGTACATCTGTTCCTACAGCTGCTGTTATTCCAACTCACACCCAAATCGATTCCGACTCTCTCTCAACTCTTCCTATTCTTCCTACTCTTCCTATTCTTCCTACTCTTCCTATTCTTCCTACTCTTCCTATTCTTCCTACACTTCAAACCCTCTCTACCATTCAAACCCAAACCGACTCCACCCCTCTCCCATCCGTTGATCAAGTCCCCGATATCCCAGACGTAGACATCGACGAAAGCAGTTGGGAAAAAATCGATAGGCATAGTTTGTTTAGGCCTCTTCCGGTGAGGAAATCGAAATCCAAAGCCAAGTTGGAGTTGGTCGAGACCGAGACTCAGAACGAGGACAAAGACGAGGCCGAGACTAAGAAAGGAGACGAGGCCCAGGACGGGACCAACACCGAGACTAAGAACGGCTTTGAGGATGGAGACGATGGGACTAGGAGCGAGTTTACCGTTAAAGAAAAGGAAAAAGGGAAGGGAAATAAGGGAAAAGGAAAAGCCAAGTCTATATCAATGACAGAGCCTAAACCTTCTGATCTTTCCAACCCTTCGAATTCTCCTTCGAATCCTCTTCAAAATCCTCCAAGTTTACCACCCAAAGATCTCGAAGACCCTATCATCCCCATCATCCCTACCAAAAATCCCGTCCCCACAAAATTCCCGTTTATTTCTTCCTCTTCTTCGAAACCCGAAAAAACAGTATCCGAACCTGGATGGTTTAATTCCATCGGTGATTTGGTTGGTAAGAAAAGTAAGACTTATGGGAGTACGGTTACTACGGGAGGAACAGGAGGGATAGGAGGAACAACTGGAGGGACTACAGGGAAGAAAGCGAAATCCGTGGTATCAGCTGCTGGATCTTCCGTAGGTGGGATCACAGATCCTCTGTATTCGTTTATGAAAGCACGGTCGCCGCTGGGTGGGAATGGCAACGGGGATAAGGACGAGAAGGCCCTGAAGGATGATAAGAGGGATGGGAGTGGAGGGAACGACGAGAAAGAGAACGAAGGGAAGGACCGTTCCCCACCACCAACATTCTCCCAAATATACCCAGATGGTGCTCCCGATATTTATACTTCTTCAGCTTTACCAGAACCACAGGTCGTACCAGGTGAGAGTTATATTGATGTTTTACCAGCCTTACCAGTTCGTGGGGATATTGATATTGATATTGATATTTTACCAGGAGAGGGTGCAGGAGCTACGGGAACCCCGGCTACTGCCACAGGAGCTACGGGAGCTACGACTTCAAAAACAGTACGGTCTGTGAAAGCACGTTCTACGGTTTCTGGGTCTTTTGAAGATGAGAAAAAGGAGAAGAAAGATGGTGACAGAACAGAAGACAAGGACATGGACGGGGAGAAAGAGAACAAGGAAGTGGAAGGTGACAAAGAAAATGATACCGACTCCTCCTCCTCCTCCTCCTCTTTCCACTTCCCATCAGACACCGCTCCTGCATCTGAAAAATTAACCGTTTCGTTAGAATTAGTGAGGAGGATTGATTTGTTGAGGAAGGGTCTTTTCGAAAAGAAGAGGGAGAAGGAGCAGGAAGAGGGGAAGGCGGATACGGAAGAAGCTGATGATGGAAAACAAACAAAAAAACAGATACGAAAATTAGAGAAGAGGTTTAAGAGGGTTGTTTTGGGTGTTGGAGGTGGTGATGGTGGTATGTTATTATTTCTTTCTTTATCCATCTTCTCTCCTCTTTCCCCTTACTCATATACCCATATACTCTTCTCTAGACCCAGCCAACAAATCAACCAAACTCGACATCCCCGGCAACACTTTCAATCTAAAAATCGTTGAGAAAATGGAAGAGAGGTTATGGGTGTTAGGTGTAGAGAATGTGTTAGGTGTGGAGAAAAATGTAGGGACGAAGGATACGAAGGGAGTAGGGAAGGTTGAACAGCAACCAAAACTCGAAATTATAATCTCAAAAGGAACAAAAGCAAAATCTATAAAAGAAGCTATTGTTGGGGCGTTGAAAAAGTGAGTGCTGTTTCTGTTGATTGTAGTGCTGTTGTTGATTGTGTTGTTGTCATGGTGCTTTTTTTTTTTTTACTTTGCTTTCTCTTCCTACTAGGTACGACCTCACTTACGCCGAAGACCCCAACAATGGCCGGATTTTAAATGTTACTGTTCCGTTTGGGTCTGTGTTCGGGGAGGGTTAGAGTCTGAGTTTGGTGGGGAGGAGAGTTAGGAACGTTAGGAGGAAATTTTACGAAGGCTATGAAGACTATGAAGACTTGGAAGATAGGAATCCACCAAATTCACGAAAGCATGAAACCTAGGGAATCTAGGAAATTTAGGAATATCATGAGACCTACGAAATCATCTATTTCTAGATCTCACTATGTCTGCGTGCTTCTACATCTACGTATATCTATATCTGCAGAGCTCTACTTTCACAGAGGTTCTACGTATCTCTACGTACTCTGCTATCTACTATCTACATCTGTTGTTATGTGTCGATTTGTTTTGTTTTACTTTGTCTTGTTCTGCGTTCTGTCCTACGTCCCGTTCTGTTATATTTTGTTACGTTCTCTATTTACAACTATGTATATCACAAAATGTGTTCTTGTCTGTTATGTTCTACTAACAACCTAGTACCGTTGCACTATACCAACCACTTCCCAAATCCAAGCCTAAATCCAGAACTAAACCCAAATCCGAACTCATCCTCGAACATAACTCATACTCATCACCTCCCTATCATCCGAACACAACCGCGCCCATTCAAGTGCCAATCGGTAGACGTACGCTGGAGAGTCAGTTGTTAATCGATTGTCATCGCAACGAAGCGGGAATCGGGAATGCGTGAATGCATAAATGTGTGAGTGAGAACTTGAGGATAAAGGGGTAACAGGATAAAAATACGGGAAAGATGAAATAAGAAATGCGTAAGTGGGAAACGGGAAGTGTTTTGAAGGGTTTAAAGTCAGAGAAAGCGAGAGAGAGAGAGAGAGAGAGGAAAAAAAACAAATACCAAATACCAGAAACCGAAAGCCAAAAACCACAAAACGAAAAAAAAACCAAAAC